CTGTTACAGTAGATACTCGTCTTCAAGCTCAACATCCACACTTTCTTATCACATTCCACCTAAACCTGCATGAATTAGGACCTGGCCTGTTCCTGTCAGAGCTAACTGGCCATTAACACTGACTTTACAGCTTATACGTGGCCATTATACCGTTTTTAAACTTGTTTTATGTTTTGTTACTTTTACCTTTTGTGTTTTACACCTTTTTTTGTTCGAAAATGTCCCAAAAAATCAAAGAGAGATGACGATTACCTTACTAGCATGTTACTATAATGGCACTGCTAACAACTAAGCTAGCCGCTGCTTTCGGAGTTTAACCCTTTAAAGCCTGATCCAAGAATAAAAAAAAAACAGAAAATGACTTTTTTTTTTGGTTTGAATTCCTTATTCTGCCTTTTAACAAAATATGTTAAAAGAAAAAACTGAAATACATTTTTAATATTAATAATTTATTACTATGCGATAAGTCCAGATTATTTTTTGTGTATCTTCTGCCCCCTGTTATCAGGTGTATCTGATTGTGTACAATAGGATTTTGAGCAAAGTTTTTACCATTAAATTATGTAAAAGGTGACAGACGCAAAACATTTCAGAAATTGTATCAGATATGATACATTTGGCATTACAGGGTTAAATAGCATACTCAGTATAAACATTTAAATATCTTAATAGCATACCTTTTCCAATAAGAGGCATATTTAAACAGGGCCTTCTAAAACTATTTCTAAGTGGTTTATTCCTGCATATAAATGATCATTTTAAAATAAAAAATAAACAACTGGACCATTGGCCAAGATTAGTACTTAATGGCGACATAGCCTTTTTTAAGTAATTTAAATTATAAGAAGTGGACATAATGTCTGGTAAGTATGCCTGTATAACGTAAAAGATGATACGTTAATTTAGAAAAAGAAGTAAATACCAGTGATGCTGAGCTATTTTCACAACAAAGAGGCAAGAGGGTGGGACTCATATTAAACTTCATTAAACAGCTTAATTAGCTTTTGGAAAGTGCTAAACTTAGGGGAACCCAAGTAGATCACACTGGTCAAAGTAAGTTCAATATTGTAGGAAATGTGTTTTCCAATGTAACCGTATGAATCAAACATGATACATTTGGCATTACAGGGTTAAGGAATCATAGTCAAAACTTGAGACCAATAAATGTCATGTTTGTACTCTAGATCAGTGTTTTTCAACCACTGTGCCTTGCCAGGTGTGCCGTGGAAAATCATCCTTTTTTTTTTTTAAATACAATAAATAAATAATCATCCAATTTCACCTTATTGGTCTAAAAATACTTTTTGATATGGACTTAATTATCTGCAATTAATATTCCATTTCTGAGTGTGTGTGCTGTTCTAGTGACTGGTGGAGTAATCATGTAATAATTCCTTATGACTAGATTTTGTGTATAATTTTGTATATTGAAGTGGACATGTTAAGAGCAATTTGAAAGAAGAAATATAAAATATGATAAAAATACATTTTTGTTTATTTGATTCCTATTCAAGACACTTAAGATAAGATAAAAATAAAATAAGAATAACTATAGTGTTACTATAGGCGGCTACAGATTTGTTTGACATTTTTGGTTGGTGGTGTGCATCGTGATTTTTTCAATGAAAAAATGTACCTTGGCTCAAAAAAGGTTGAAAAACACTGGTATAGATCTTGTCCGGTTTATTCTCAGGCTTCCAGATAAAGGACCGGGCTGAGTGACCACAGGTAGCTTTTTCTTCTTCATCATCAGTGAGCGTTTACCTCATCGAAGTCTGCTATGATCTCGTTTAGGAGACGGAGGCACTCCAGGCCCTCCTTGTTCACGTCGGACTCGGTGTAGAACTCTTTGAAGTCGGGAATGGAGGCGAACATCACACACACCGACTCGTAGGACTGATGGTAGAGGTCCTGATAACGAGCAGAAAAAGAGAGAGAGAGAGAAAGATCAGAGTGGGATTGATGGAGCACCGGGGGATAGGGTTGTCACGATACAGTGATCCCTCGCCAACTTCGCGGTTCACTTATCGCGGATTCGCTATTTCGCGGATTTTCAT